AAGTTTGCACTACAAATAAACGTAAATAAACAAAACCAGAAGTTTTCAACAGAACGTAAATCTTGGAGAAACAACGAAACAGTGCAATGCAAGAAAATAGCAACGAATGTCGAGAGTGTGAGTGAGAAGCGACAAAAACGACCGAGAACATGAACCTGTCGTGTATTTGTAAACGACGGGTTTCGTTGCCGACATTAATCTCGCACTTTTGCGGAGGTGCAAGATGAACAGACTGTAAACCTTACGTTCGCTCGTGTGCTTTATTTAGAATCCAAGGATCGCATATTATGCAAAAAGGAGCAACATATTGCATCCGTGCACTGTTGGACTTTAGGGAAGAAGAAAAGGTTCCATCTTTGTAGTTGTTTGAATTTGATGCAAATGAAGGAAAAGAAGTAGAACAGAACCTATAGTACACGGTATTTAAATTTGATGGACGCGGTTGATCAATTTCGGACGCCACATTGTCTATTCTATTTGTGATTTGATTGGTTCTTTCAAATTTAATAACAAAGAGCTCTGTGGCCCGTCTATCAACAGCAAGCAACGATAATTCATTCAACTTGCTCGACCAATTCGAATCTTGTGTGGTACACGTACAACTTTGATCCAAATAATTTTTTGAAGTTATACTTCTTTAGGCGCGTTAAGAAAAACTGATGAGAGTGAAATTTCAAGATGCGCGCGCATCACTGTAACACAAAATTTACAGGATGAAGTTGCCCACTCAACCGAATTCATTAAGTCTCGGAAAAAAGCTACCAACGAAATAGAAATAAAACCTCTCTTAGTCGCGCATGTTGGTACGCTTGTCGCCTCTGATCACTGTTTTCATATTTATTTATAATATTTATCCACATGGTTTTAGTTTTTACAGTCACAACACGTGTTTTATTTTCATACAAGTGCGAATTATATATGTGGCAATAAAATATATTCAGTAGTGATTTAAATTGAATATTTGGATTAATATTATTTACTATTTGTGAATATTAGTGAAAAAATTGTGCTAAAATACTTTTTTAAGTGCTCCAATATAATTGAGGTTAGTTATCCCTATGTATTATTTATTGATATAAATTAAAATATCATTATTTAATATAATTAATACTAAATATTATTAAATTATCAATGTTGAATATTTATTATTGGTTATTTAATATTTACAAAATAAAGAAATAAATTTAATAGAACATTTAATAAAAAGTTCGTGACAAAAATTTAATAGATTATTTAAATATAATGTAAGACATCCGTTATTTGTTTTATTGTTTTTTATTACATACGTCTTTTCTTTATCATTGTGTGACAGAAGATTTTGACATGTNAGGTACTTCCTTATTTTTTTTTTTAGGTTTAAAAACTTCCGCGCGCGCCCCTTTTTAACCTTGCGCCCCTAGGCATATGCCTACTTTGCCTTATGGATAATCTGCCACTGAAAACAATAATAAAAAATGCAAATTTACCATTGCAGCGCAAATACGCGGAAAGTTATAGGTAAACCAAAAACATCAAATTATGAGAATGTAGAATACTTAAAAATATTGAGAAATGATGTACGAGATGGGGAAATTAAGTTCCGATAATACAGTTGTAACTTCCTTTCTAACAACTATGTAACAATACAACGGGGTTTGAACTCACGTTATTGCAAATTTTGAATCTTCCTTTAACATCAATATAAGAATGAAGTCGGAACGTCTTTTCGTCAAAGATTACTTATAGTATGAATTCACGCATTACAACACTAGAAAGCAATTTAGAGAGTAACGTAAACTGCATCATTACCATAAAAATAATTTAAGTAATTAATAAAATAAAACAATTCTTTTGTCTGGGCTAAATTTTAACAAATAAGACTGCTTACATAGTTAACATAATTCCAACTAGGTACCAACTTTTTTCTAAATGTATGTTTTACCTTAGCTTTGAAATATACCGTTTTTCTGATCATTTTAAGCAAATAGTTTATGAACATGTAGAGAAATGTAAGCTAAAACATCTGATCTTTAGTGAATCTTTAAGAAATCAAATTTCTTTAATTTGAAACCCTTCAAAAAGTATAGCAGAATTGCAAAGCATTGAATGCGCGCGGTAACGAGCACAACGGTTCACTAGTAATACAAGAAATAATGGTGTAGTTTATCTTACATCTATGCAATCTTTCGCAGTATTCGAAATAAATAAAGCGATTCTAAATTAACATAACATATTCAGCATTTTTCACTTCACGTTAAAATAATAAAAAATAGCAAATTTTCTCTCTTCATCTACTCCGCATCATCTTATCGATAAGCACCACACTTCGTTCATAAATTTAATATCGATACCGACATCCTTCACAGTTAAATATTTCTTCCACATAATTCACATTAAAAGCAATTGTCTATCATTGTATTCACGGCCAATATTATCTAAATGACAATGCAAAATGGAAAATACAATAATGTTACCGTCATCATCATAAGATCGTCAGTCCTAAGACTGATTGGACACATTCCTTCTTATCCTGAGTTAATCTTTGCATTTCCCTAAAACTACAACATCCCACATCCTCTTTCTGCCTCTAATATGTCTCTGACTAGACCTTCATGCCTGAGAAGGTATCCTATCAACCTACCTCGCCTATTTCCAGTAAAACAGCATTTCGAACGCCTCTAACCCATACAAAGTCGCAAACGTACACCTTTAACAATCTTTTATGAATTTCTAAATTAACCGTTCGTGAGCATTAAGTGACTTCTTTCTATTGAAGGCGATTCGACCCTGCGCTATCCTCCGCTTTAAATCTTTACTACTCCTTCTGTCCTAACTTATCTGACTTCCTAGATACTTAAAATCAGCCACTTCTAATATTTTGTCTCGTATCTTTACATTCGCTCTTTCTTCTGTTGTATACCAATGTATTTGTTTTACTGTTATTTATTTTCATACAAGACTGTTTTGTCAATACCGCTTCCATTTTATTTAAAGCTAATAGTGCTGTATCATCTGCAAATTTAAGCATACTAATCTTTCGACCCTGTATATCTGTCCCTACAGTTGTACTGTTTTTAATGATCTTGATCGCGTCTTCAATGTATAGATTAAATAGTAGTGGTGATATAGTGTGCATCCTTGTCTTCATTCCTAATATTTACTTCTCTACGTTGCTGCTTCAGCTGTATAACTGCCTATTGCTTTTTATACAAACTATCGCTCTTCCATCTCTGTATTTTATCCCTACATTTTTATGCATATTTAACATCTAGTTCCATTTAACATTGTCAAAAGCTTTTTCTGAATCTACAAATCCTATTTTCGCACTCTTTCCTTTTTCTGTCATCGTGACCGCAGAATACCTATGGACAAAAAACTTCGTAAATGCGACGCTGATAATGTCATCTGCGAACGACACAAGACAACGTGACGTGCGGTTCTTACTCATTAGCAATTCAACAATTTCTTCACTAGTTTCCTTTCTCTTGACGTCATACCCAGTGACATTTGGGGATTAAGACATTTCCAATGATTAATTATTTACTAAAACTTGTTAAGATGTTTCAACTTTCCGAGGGAGCAAAGAGGTATATAAACACACATCACATTTACATTCCCTAGAAAATACTTCACTTAAGTTTCATAACATGTTATTTGTCAACACTATTATTGGCATGTGTAGTATTTTTTAAACTGTTATGCTGTTTTGCGACATGGTTTTCAAGTCACACCTGCAGATTAGTTTCCAATTTCAAATACAATTTTTAACGTTTGTTCCAAACATTACAGCGAAACCAAATTCCTAGAAAAATAAGGTAAACAAGACCTAATGGTTTTACCTATCATTACAGGTCGTCGTTAGGGGAACGGGATTTACCCCCCGTCTACCTTGGGTCCTACGAATAACAAGCAAATTTGCAATAATATTCATCTTGCCATATAATAATCTAAATATTTCGTTATTTTGTTCCGATCTTTTTTTGTTTTACTTTTTTATCCTATTTTTTTTAATGAAGCATTTCACCAAGTTCTCGTTTCCTCTTGTTTTATATATTAACTAGCGACCCACCCCAGTTTCGCACGGGTGCAATGCTGATACTAAATATATTTTCGTTTTGTTTAGATTTTATTATCGAGGAGGGGAAATTTTCAAAAGACACCCCTGAACATACTAAGTATACTACAGAATGTCTTTTTATACAACATTCACAACTTTTTTGTCATTAGACAATACAAACCGGCAGGTACCGCCGTAACCGCTATGTCCCTGCATTTTAAGTCTGTAATATCTTCGAAAATATTCATTTAAATTACGTGCTGTAGAGGGCCATATTGATGTATATTAAATGGACAATGTATTTAAGGTACCTGATTGGATAAGAATTAATGTTGTATTGCTTGAAATCGCTTCGTAAATAAGCTATTATTTCTCATAAAAATTAAAGGATAAAAAATGGTTATTGTGGCTTATCCCTAGGATATAGACCTATACCATCCCGATTTTTTTTTGTAGACCTTTTTAAGATGTACAATACTGTAGTATATTATTTTGATTTATTTCGTAGGGTTCAGCCAGCGTTTGCAATGAAAGCGCAAAAAATGTGTTTATTTACGACATCACATTAGAAATCTCTAAAATTATCAGTGTTTCTCTACTACATATAAACCTTACTCTTGAATAATTATCTATCAAAAAAAACGCATTAAAATCCGTTGCATAGTTTTAAAGATCTAAGCATACATAGGGACAGACAGCGGGAAGCGACTTTGTCTTATACTACAGGTATGTTGTGATATTTGCCGGTTTCACTTATTTTTATTAGTTTTCAGAGCATAACCACAATTCTTTTTTAACGCGACATAATCAATCACGTGGAACCCAATTCCGGCATCGGTTTTCAAGTCCTCCTTTGGGAAGATTGTTTTTCTGGGAAATTAGGTTTTCATAACAGTGTTGTATCCCAGTAAGCGATGCTTAGGGATCTAGGCTTATCTGCATACCACTTATTTAAACAACCGAATTTCCGAATATATTTTATTAACATTAACTTTTACACAAAAATATTATCTACTACTTAAATTAAACACTATACTAAAAATATGAATCAGAGAATAATGAATTAGGAAAAATGAATTAGAAATCTAAACGACTGGGATAGGATTCTTTACTGTTCTCCTTCAAAAACGCGCCACTTTGGTTTATATAGGGACGCTTAAAACTACGTCACAAGTACCGTTAGAGTACCTGCAAGGGTAGTTGTGTTACACGATTTCTCTTTTTTATTGCACCAAAAGCTAAAAGTTTGTACGTTCTTTCTTAGCCCTTGGGCGATGAGTCAAGTAAAAATACATACAAATAAGAATTCTACGAAATGAACTTATACTTAAATAAACTAAAACATTGGATTACAACATTCCTCCCCCCTGAAGAAGAGTGAAGCTTATACAAAAATCTTAAATCTATCACATAACTAAGCTGAACGAATACTAAATTGCTTTTTATTGTTGCTACGTTATAAACTACTGTTAAACAGAATTAATTCAATTTGTTTGTTTTACATTTAAGTATATGTCGATCGGCGACTTTTGATCGGAGCTAATATTTTATTTTTTGAATGTGAATGTTCGCTCGAACTACCTGGAACATTTTCTAAAGAGTGAAGTTCAAGACTTTCGTCGTGTTCTATATCTAAATGTGAACTTCGTCTTTCATTTTTCTGCACATTAAATATTTTTAAACAAAATCCTCCTAACTTGCTACAACTACATGTGTAAGGAGTAACTGAATATTTTTGATTTTTCTTACAACATTTACAGTATAAAAAGATAAGAAAAACTATTATTACAATTGCAAAGATTACATAAGAATAATTCACCAAAGTCCTGACATGAATATCTTGGGTTTCCTGAAGTTTTTCGTGAATATTGTTTAATTTAAAACTTGATAATTTTAATTCCTCTAGAGAAGATATAACAGATTTATAATCTTTTGACAAATGAGGCATAGTAATATTAACATGCTCGCTTTTGATCTCCTGTTCGCAGCATTCATCTAATATATCAATTGAAGGTATAAAATTAAGTTTTAAGGCAGTTTCACTGTCATATGAATGAAACGGTATCAGTTTTACATCAACACCATAAGCAATACATTTTGAATTAAGCGTAAGTGCGCCAGTTTTGCTCAAATGTACGTCTAACGGACTTTTTCTGTCTGCACAATTCAAAGTTATAGTTTCTTTTTCTGTCACAATTACATATAACCAAGTATTCGAATTGGTAATGCGATGCCAAATGTTGTGAGTTAATTCTATTATTCTAATGTCACAGGATTTATAATTATTATATCTATAACTAAATAGTCCAATTTCACAAATTTCTGAGTTTATTACTAAACGAGTAGGTTGATTTTGTTTGCACAGTCTTTCCGATTTTAACACTTTACACTGATTTAGTTCACTATCACTAATACGAATAAACAGTTGTTTGGTCTTATCTACTGCAAGATAAGGTGTGCTTGGTTGAATAAAAACGTATGCAGTTGAAGAGTTGATCCTTGTTGGTAGTGGATGAAGCTTGTATACGGTAAATTCTTCGTCTTTCACCAGAGGAATCTTTACAGCTACTATGAGCTTGTTGCTGACGACGACGATGTCCAATTCGGCGATGTCCAGCAAAAGGTGATAATTTTCCATCGAGAGAAAAATCGGATAGTGCAACCCAGGTGGTAAATAAGGAAGTGTCTTTTTAATTTCGGATATTAATTGGGATGGGGAAATGATGAAAGGATGTATTTGCCCAATGCGTGCAATCGTTAATGCATTTATTAGATTTTGTAGGTCACTGTGATAGTGATTCAATATTTCTGATAATAAATTTGCATGTTCTAAAAAATTCATTTCTATATCAAAATTTTTAACAGAAGTTGAAATTTCTGAATATAAGGATTTTGAAACGTTTTCTAAGACATTTAAATTTTTCTGAAAGATTAATTCATTGTGAACAATATTACTAACTGTCTGATTTACGGAATGTACAGTACTCTGCATAACAGATGTTTGCTTCAACATAAGCTCGCGCATTTCGCGTTCATTTTTAGCTATTTCTGAAATTGTTTTATCGTAATACAGTGCGTCATCAGAATCAGCTGTACCAAATAAATATTTTTCGGCTTTACCAATTATGTTAAATAGACCACGCTTATTTCTGACAGGAAAAACGTTCGCACCCGTAATTTCTTGTACAACACCGATCTGGACTTTACTTTTCTGTATAATTTCGCTGGTAGTTGCAATGTACTTATCGCAATTAGAAGATATTGTTCTTTTAACTTCACTGCAAATTCTCGAGGTTTTTTGATTATAGTTCTCGATTTTGTCTAAAGTTTCAAAATAAACCTGCATATCAACATAAGTCAAAAGTTTCCATTCATTATTGAAAAATTGTGCATTAGCTACGTTCTCGAAATAGATACCAGGATTATGATCTATTGTTTTAATTTCATATAATTCATCTGCGAAAGATAAATGGGAAAGAAATGGGAGAATTATGACAAAAACGGATGAGATGGTATTCATGATCTGCAAAAATATACATAGTTAATTTTCGTTTTTACTCGAAAATAAGGTTTTAATCTATTTACGTGAACTACTACTGATTTGTTTCCTCTTTTAACTACATAGTTTACATCTGACTTTTTATCTAAGACCTTATACGGACCTATCCATTGAGATGAAAGCTTTTTTGATCTTCCACGCCTAACTGATTCATCATAAAGTAAAACTAGATCTCCTACAGAAAATTTGCGTATTTTAGCTGACCGATCATAATACTCTTTGGAATGTTCTTTTGAGTTGATAGTACGTTTATTAGCAAGATTCCAAGCAAGTTGCATTTTATGCTTAATGTTTTGTACGTAGTCATCGAATGTATATTGAGTTTGAGGTAATTTCTCAATAGAGCTTGGTATTATTGGTTTACGACCAAACATTAACTCATAAGGAGTGTAACCTGTCGTTGTATGAGGGGTAGTATTATAAACGAATGTATAATAATCTAACCAACGATCCCAATCTGTTTGTTTATCGTTAATGAAATTTTTTAAATATTCGGCTAAACCTCTGTGCGATCTTTCGATTTGACCGTTTGCCTGCGGATGATACGCTGTAGTTTGAATTTTATTAATTTTAAAAAGTTTGCAAATATGTTTAATGATATTACTAAGAAAGTTGGTGCCCTGATCGGAAACTAACGTCTCTGGTACACCTAATTTGCATATTATTTTTGTTGCTAAATAGTGACCTACAGTTTCTGCTTCTTGATCTGGTAATGCTAAAGCTTCGGAATATTTTGTTAAAGCATCTTGAAAAGTGAGAATATACTTGCTACTATTTTCAGTAGTCGGAAGGGGTCCGACTATATCAACAAAACATTTCTGTAAAGGACGAATTGCAGTGTCAGTTATTATTAATGGATACTTATGAACATTAGCTAATTTGTTTCTTTGACATTTATCGCATTTTCTTATATATTTACAAATATCATTTTTCATTCCAGGCCATGAATGATATTTTCTTATTTTATTATACGTCCTACTAAAACCTATGTGACCACCCGTTGGAATGTCATGAAATTCATGTAATAACTTTTGTATTTTTTCTCTAGAGTATTCGCTTTTATGTTCATAAATTGAAATTTCCACAGGAGTATTTTTAAAAACATAGCGAAACATTGAACGAATTTCTTCATATGGAACCTTTACCTTAGCAAATATCTCTTTAGGAATAGCTAAACTGATAATATGATTAATTAAACATTGTTCCTTAATTTTATTTAAATATTCCCAGAACTTTTCACCTGTAACAGTTTTATCATTGCTGTCCACCAAGATTAAATTAATAATTGATTTAAATTGTATATCTTTTATGAAAATACTTCCTACATTATAGTCTTTAAGATCGTTTCCTAGAAAATAATTATACGTCGATTGGAGAGTAGTAGTGATACTGTTAATAGGAATATTATCTTTTGAAACAAAGTTTAAAATATGTGTCGAAACTGAATTTACAATATCTCCTGAAATATCGATAACTTTATTATTTTGAATCAACTGTGACCCTAAGATTTCTTTAAATTGGTTGTAATCAGTAGATGTTATGGTATTAATTTGATATGGTAATCTACTTAAGGCATCAGCATTTATATTCATTTTACCAGCCTTATGAACTATTTCGTAATTGTATTCTTCAAGAGCTAATCGGAACCTCAGTAACCTACTTCCAGGATCTTTTACGCTAAATAGCCAAACTAAAGGCTTGTGATCCGTAACGATAGTAAACAGTCTGCCGAACAAATAAGGACGAAAATGCTTCGTGGCCCACACGATCGCCAGCAACTCCTTTTCGGTAGTACTGTAGTTAATTTCGGCTTTATTTAGAGCTCGACTACAATACGCCACGGGGAGATCCTCACCAATTTTGCCTTGTGATAAAATAGCACCGATTCCGACCTGACTTGCGTCAGTAGTCAAAATAAATTTCTTGTCAAAATCAGGATACTGTAGCAACGGTTCACTAATAAGAATGTCTTTTAAATTTTGAAAGGATTCTGCGCATTTATCGGACCATTGGAAATTTACATCTTTTCTTAAAAGTTTCGTTAACGGAAGCGCAATTGAGCCGTAATTTTTAACAAATCGTCGATAATATCCACAAAGACCGAGGAAAGATTTTATTTGTTTCACGTTTTTAGGAACAGGGTAGTTTTTTATTACTTCTGTTTTTAATGGATCAGGTTGTATGCCGTTACTTGTTATAAGATTTCCTAAATATGTAACTTCTCTTCTCAAAAATTCGCATTTCGCGGGCTGTAGTTTTAAATTTGCTGAGCGGAGTCTTTTGAAAACCTCTTTTAACTTATCATTATGGTCCTTTAAATTACTTCCATAAACACATATGTCGTCAAGGTAAATAAAACATTTTATTCCTTGTAAACCGCTTAAAATTGTATTCATTATCCTTTGAAATGAACTCGGACTCGTTTTTAAACCCATGGGCATTGTATTGTATTCAAAGTGTCCGAATCGCGTACTAAAAGCTGTTTTTTCTTTATCACTCTCGGCTAACGGAATTTGATGGAATCCACTCGCTAGGTCCAGAGTGGAGAAGTACTGACATTTACCTAACTGATCAAAAATGTCCGCGATGGAAGGTAACGGAAAGGCATCACCTATAGTGACATCATTTAGTTTGCGGTAATCGACCACTAATCGCCATTTTTTAGTTCCTGATGCATCTGCCTTTTTCGGAACAAATAAGATTGGAAAATTCCAAGGTGATTTAGATGGACGAATGATATTTTCTTCGCGCATTTTATTAATTTGTGTCTCCAATTCATTATTTAAGGATTCTGGTAACCTATATGGCTTTACGTTTATTGGTCCTACGTCTGATTTTATATTTATTCTATGTACACCCGCGTTTGTACAGGAGAGTTTATCGCCATCTAAGTAAAATATATCACTAAACTCTTCAACAACTTCTAATAAATTAGTTCTTTCTTCGGAATTCAAGTGATCCAACCTTATGTTATCTCGTAAAATTTTTAAACGATTGGTTGTATTAAATTTTGAAATACTGAAAACTGAAGAAGTTTCAACGTCAAAAGGTTGTAATTTAATTTCAGGGATATTTATTTCTATTTCTTCTTCCGTAGTATTTAGAACACTAGCGATACATCTATTGTCAAGGGGTTGTGTTAAACATGAGCTAACAAAAACTCCAGGTGACAACTCAAATGGTTCTATTAAGCCTTCGCGCGACGATCTCGTAATGAAATTAATAAACTGTTCACTACGTGGTTTTATTTTTACAATATGAGAGGAATCTTCTAATGTTAATATATTATTTCCGATATGAAAGGTGTGATTGTTATAATTTATCAAAATTTTGTGCAATTGCATGAAATCTCGTCCTAAAATACCATCTTCGTGAAAAGCTACTTGTTTTGGTAAAACGTGAAATTCATGCTCAATTTTTTGAGAGTTGGGTAACGTTATTGTAGCAATGATAGTACCAATTGTATTAATTTCCACTCCCCCTAAACCTATTATATTTGACGATTTATTTGTGTTTATTAAGCAATCATCATCTAATTTTGAAATTTTGATGAGACTTATGTCAGCTCCATTGTCTATAAGTAAAACTAATCTATTTTTGTCAGCTACATCTACAGAAAAACTTATACATTTATTATTAAACTTATTTTCTTTAATACAGCCTACTTGAAAGTTCGGGCAGAAGTCATCGGGCTGCTTGATGCTTCCGCAGAGAAGTTTCCCGACTGCTGAGCAGATCGGTTATTGCCGGAAATTCTATTATTAAAATTAGGATTACGATTACTGTTACTATTCGACTGAGTGCTATTCACGTATTGTCTCTTTCTACAATCCCTAATATGGTGACCTTTGTTTTTGCAATACGCGCATATTAAGGTAGAAAAATTCACCCTATTATTATTACTACTGAAAGTACTTTCCCTACGAAATGAATTAGGTTGTTCTCTATAATTATGATTAAAATTACTATTTCTATTATTAACTTGGTATGAATTTCGATGCTGAGGATGTTGTACTATTTTACGATCAAAATTTTGCACAAATTTAAAACTTTCCTTCTCTAGTAGTATTTCGCGCTCTTTTTGTATAGCGCCTTCAACGGCTAACTCATATTCTTCAAAATTGCGTGATTCGACTAAAAGTTTTATCGGCTGCTTAAGGCCTAAAATGAATGAGTGCAATGCTCGTTTTTTTAATAATTCCTCTATTACTACTACTGCCGCGTCTGTCTTACCTTCACACGATGCGCTTATGAGCGGTTCTATGATACTATCAAGTTTACTGGTATATTCTGCTACAGACTCGTTGGGTTTTTGTCTTAAAGAAGCTAATTGGGCTTCCAAATGAGGGATTGTACGTTTTTCCGAGAAATTTTGTTTTAATTGAGATTTTAATGCATCCCACGATTCTATGCTACGATATCTTATTGCATTATATGCAGAGCCTGTCAATTTTGTTTTAACAACATCTAGTAATAAGGGCATATTCTCAGGATTACTTCTACGTTGAACAATTTCAATGCAATTTATAAAATGCGGAAAATCTTTTTTGTTACCGTCAAAATTCGGTATTAATTTTGTTGCTTGATCACAAGTTAAATAAACCTGATTGTCTGGCATTTTGGATTGGGCAAAATACAAGAGAATAAGAAATTAGGAAAATAAAGGAAAATGGACTTACTATTCTCAAGATGTCTGGCTACGATTGGTACGATTGTTTCTTGAATTCAACCAGTGATAGGAAGGCAATGTAGATGATCCACCAGTGATACGATGAGACGATAATTGATGAACGATGATGTAGAAATCAATTGTTAGCAGTATAACGTTGCAGATATCCCACCGCTGCCACCATAAATGTTGTATCCCAGTAAGCGATGCTTAGGGATCTAGGCTTATCTGCATACCACTTATTTAAACAACCGAATTTCCGAATATATTTTATTAACATTAACTTTTACACAAAAATATTATCTACTACTTAAATTAAACACTATACTAAAAATATGAATCAGAGAATAATGAATTAGGAAAAATGAATTAGAAATCTAAACGACTGGGATAGGATTCTTTACTGTTCTCCTTCAAAAACGCGCCACTTTGGTTTATATAGGGACGCTTGAAACTACGTCACAAGTACCGTTAGAGTACCTGCAAGGGTAGTTGTGTTACACGATTTCTCTTTTTTATTGCACCAAAAGCTAAAAGTTTGTACGTTCTTTCTTAGCCCTTGGGCGATGAGTCAAGTAAAAATACATACAAATAAGAATTCTACGAAATGAACTTATACTTAAATAAACTAAAACATTGGATTACAACATTCCTCCCCCCTGAAGAAGAGTGAAGCTTATACAAAAATCTTAAATCTATCACATAACTAAGCTGAACGAATACTAAATTGCTTTTTATTGTTGCTACGTTATAAACTACTGTTAAACAGAATTAATTCAATTTGTTTGTTTTACATTTAAGTATATGTCGATCGGCGACTTTTGATCGGAGCTAATATTTTATTTTTTGAATGTGAATGTTCGCTCGAACTACCTGGAACATTTTCTAAAGAGTGAAGTTCAAGACTTTCGTCGTGTTCTATATCTAAATGTGAACTTCGTCTTTCATTTTTCTGCACATTAAATATTTTTAAACAAAATCCTCCTAACTTGCTACAACTACATGTGTAAGGAGTAACTGAATATTTTTGATTTTTCTTACAACATTTACAGTATAAAAAGATAAGAAAAACTATTATTACAATTGCAAAGATTACATAAGAATAATTCACCAAAGTCCTGACATGAATATCTTGGGTTTCCTGAAGTTTTTCGTGAATATTGTTTAATTTAAAACTTGATAATTTTAATTCCTCTAGAGAAGATATAACAGATTTATAATCTTTTGACAAATGAGGCATAGTAATATTAACATGCTCNGATCGAAAGAGGGTGGTCACTTGAACAAAACCCGATAACCTAACCTAACCTAACCTAACCTAACCTACCCTATTGATAAAGCTATTTAAATAATGTTTTATATAACTTTCTCAATATTTTTATGTATTTTTCATTAGTTTTACCTTTGAATATTGTTTAAGAATGACTATATAAATATTTACATGCTTAGAAATGTATAAAAATTGGCATATTTATTAAGTTTGAACCCCTATAACTTTTTATGGGGGTGAGACAGCCATGAACTTTTTATGGTACAGTGGTGGGGGAGACCTCCTCTTTCGATCCCACCCACCCCCACCCCCTTCATCTAGACATTTACCCTCTATTAAATTACAATTTTCCAAACACTAGGTTTTATCGGTTTCGTTCTCGTTGCTGTCCTACATACGGGTCAAAGATCAACGAAGACCTAATAAAACAAACTTTGCTATCTCTCGGGAACAGTTTTTCTTTTTCGGATAAAAGGTACCCTATGTCCTTTTCTGTACCCTTGACAAGGTGTGTACAAAATATCATGATAACCGATTGAGTAGTTAAGGCGTCAAATGGTAACAAACATTCGTATTTATAAAATGTGCCATAATCATATTTGTATCTTTCCCCACTATAAAAAGTAAAAAAAAAACATTATTAATAAGGTTAAGTTATGGCCTGTTTAGGTCGCTCTAATAATTAGAAATGTTTGTTTAAGAATTGATAAAAAATAAATATAGAATTTTTAATCAGGCCAAATGAAATTAACCATAACCTAAACACATAAATAACGTATTTAGCAATAGGACGTTGCTATTCATTACTATTTAAAAATCCACTGAGAAAAAAAATCTCGCGAACAACTTACAGTTCGGTCGTCACATAAAAACCACATTGTTTTATTTTTCTTGTTCAATAAAATCGTCTGTACAAAAGACCTTTTACTAAAAGTTGGCCTTAACGATTCCAAAATAAACTAAAGCCCAACAATTTCAGGGTGTAGGTTAAGAAGGAGTATCACATTCACATATTGCATGCATTACGTTTTAATGAATACAAATAAAGAAAAGCAATTATGAGAATATAAGTGGGTGAACCAATATTATTATTCAACAACACATATACAGGGTGTCCCGAGCAATCGGGTTTCTTCAATAACTGCTTTACAGTTGAAAATTTCAAAAGAAGTTTCTTACAAAAGTGGTACCATATAAATACCTGCATAACCTAAAATTATTTTCGATTATACAGACTGTCCCATTTTTCCTGGAAGCAACTTAACTTCGTTTTTTCAAACGGAATGCTCCATTTTTTATTGCATTTTTGAATTCCTCGTTAAATTTAAATACCACTTTGTTAACCGTATATTATGTCTAAAATACATCAATTTCCATAAAATTCGCACTAAATCAATAAAAAGGCTGTTGCAGAGCTCTGCATCATTTCGAATATCTCCGAAACACAGAGGTGTGCTATTTTCATAGCTTGTGGTAGAAATGACCTACTATTTCCACTATTAATGCATACATGTTCTTTTCAAATTCATTGAAATCTACCGCTACTAAAATAAATTATTTCGAACTGGCATAACTATTTTTTTTTAATGAAATGATTATTGAAGAAACCCGCTTGCTTGGGACACCCTGTATATATGTACGGACCGTATACCTTTCCTACAATCTCATATTATTTGCAAAAATTAGTCTGATTCTGAATACATGTAATATGCTATGTTCCATATAAAGGTTTTAAATTTTTAATGTTTTCATTAATTATTTAGTCTGTATATTAAATGAAAGCGAAAAGAAAAGTAGAGAATATATTTTTATACGGCTTATACTTTTTATTAATTTATTTATTTTCACGTCTACATGGAGAGATTTAATTGAATGAAAAATATGTACACGGAATTGCAAAAATTTGTTATTGTTTCATGAAATAATGTTAAAATTTTTTAACTCGAACAAACAAACGTCGAGTAGATACTGTATCAAATCTAAAATAATAAAAACAGGAGAGGAAAATATTCGGATTTTGAAAATTTTTCCTACCTTCCTATTACTTTTGTACGGTAGGATATACTTTTTATTGATTTATGTATTAAATAGGACCTGTTTGATTGAAAAATCAAATACTTGCACGTTGACACGGATATTCCGTTATCGGTTCTAGTCCGTTGACCTAAGAAAATTTTTACCATAGACTTGGGGTCTACTACTGTAAAGCCAGAAGAAAAATACATTAAATCCACGAAAGCTCAGCTTTGCGAGAACATATTATTAAATTAAATATAAATGTTGTTTCACTTCCATGTGTTCAAGGGCAGTAGATTTCACGCGTATATTATAGAGATATTTGTTGGGTGTGAATGTGTTTCGCTATTTGTATATTTTTTATCGTGGCTTTAGTTTGTATTTATTTTTCGTATATATCCGTATGTTATGATTTCTGTTGCAAATATTTTAACATCAAATTGTGCTTACAAACATCTTTGGATCCTCTTTATTACATTCTTCAGGTAGGTACAAATTGTTTGTTTTTGTAACAAACGTTCTAATTCACCAACTACGTCACGTCGGGCTTTCTTTAGGTACCTGAAGGATGCATAGTAACAACCAAAGCGTTTACCAAGGGATCCGTTTTACTTTAGGGATTTTTCCTATTTTTGTATAGACTATTTAAGTACTGTACAACAAAGTTCAGCAGACCGAGCGGCATAGCTTGGAGGTTTAGATCATTGCTTAGCATTCGGGAGGACGCCGGTTACATTTCGGGTCCGTTTGCCTTCTAGCAAGTTTTTCTGTGGTTTCTTTGGATCACTTAGGCAAATGCTGGGGCAGTAATATTCCACCGATACTCTTTCATTCTCTTCTGTCTGCATTTAGTCCGTCTCACCCGAACCACTACCCACCCATTCCCACGATTCCTGAAAGGAGCCTGAAGAGAACATTCCGCCCTACCTTCCGAAGTAGTCCGAACGAACTGCCCGCCCACCAGCATTAGTGGCTGGTAGGAATGAAACACCCAAAAGTTTTTTAAGTTCAGTAGAGTATTCCAATTCAACTACACCAAATAATTAAGTATTCTAATTCAACTGTGCCAATTCAATTCAAATTTTATTCAAGGCCCAAAATTCATTCAACGCAAGTAAATACCAAATATTTTTTTCCATTGAATTTAGACCAAGTTACTTTGTGTATATCTGTGTATAATACAAACCCAATCAATCCGTGTAAATAGTGTAAATAGACGGGATAGCACCCCATACAAATATAACCAAACAATAATAAATTGTAAATTATAAAGCAAAAAGTATCCGTTCCGCTGTCTTGAAAATGTATCCGGATACACAAATTTTTAGGACACATTTTGTATTTGTTTGACAATACTAAAATATAAATATACATACAATGTAGAAATCTTCCCGAAGTGAGTTTGTTTTAATATGAAATATTCTCAATTTTTACCCACTATACATTACCTCAAATTAATGAGGAAAAATTGTTGCTGTTGTCACACCCCCGCCGGGAATCGAACCCGGGCTCTTTGGCTTTACGCGCCAATGCTCTGACCACTAAGCTACGAGAGATGACAACAGCAACAACGACAAACCGTACTTATTAGGTCACAAATTTTTTCTCATTAATTTGAGGTAATGTGTAGTGGGTAAAATTTGAGAATATTTCATATTAAAACAAACTCACTTCGGGAAGATTTCTACATTGTATGTATATTTATATTCAGTATATAGTTAAATTAGTTCGACGGATCTGTGACCTAATAAGTACGGTTTGTCGTTGTTGCTGTTGTCATCTCTCGTAGCTTAGTGGTCAGAGCATTGGCGCGTAAAGCCAAAGAGCCCGGGTTCGATTCCCGGCGGGGTGTGACAACAGCAACAATTTTTCCTCATTAATTTGAGGTAATGTGTAGTGGATAAAAATTGAGAATATATTTCATATTAATAAAATATAGTTTACCTGTGCGATATCCAGCGTTGGAAAGATACGTCGCGAAAGATCTGGTTTCGTGGGTGGCCTGCCACTGAGCGCTCGAACAGTTGTCGTTGTTAGTGAAAACATTGTGGTTGTGTACGTACATCCCAGTCAACAAGGACGATCGCGACGGACAACACATCGGGGTTGTAACGTAGGCATGTCTGAATTCTGCTCCTTTGTCGCGGATAGCTCGTAAAGTTTTAGGCATAAAGTTAAGCGAACCCAACTCGACGTCCTGATCGTCGGTCAGGATGAGAACGATGTTCGGTTTTCTTTCTCGCGACGACGTAACGAATGTAAGATGATGAGGCACCGGAGCTTTCCGAAAACGACCCCTTTCTTGGGCGAACGACACTGTCCACGGAACCAAAAATGAAATTACTATCAAAAAAAGTAATGTGACGTCTTTCAATGTTGCACTCCGGTTAAACATTGTACGTGTTAAATGCGGTAAAGTTTGTTTTTTTTTTAGACAAAAATAATATATCAAAGCACAGATATTCAAACGGGCGACATTTGAAGTTTAATACTGCTATCGATTGAAACCATTACGTGAGCACTGTCATGGTGAATCCCTAAAAAGAAAAAGAATTACAGACTATTAAACAATCATTATTATGCAGGAAAAAAATGCAAATATAGAAACGATATCTTTTTACGGAAGTGTGGTTAGCTATTGTAATGCTTGACGCAACTACCTCCGGTTGTAACAGACAATTTTTTCATGTATATAAGCACATCGGACATGACAGGTAAACAGATATTATAATAAACGTGAATTGCAATAGAATAATGCACGTCCAACCTAAGTCTGAAAGAAGGCCTTTGCATATAGATTAGACGTAATTCTAATTATTGCTAGCACATCAGAAATAGATTTCAATATCAATTCGGCATTTGACGTTTTGATGTTGATTTATCAAAACTAAATTTAAACATCTTTTAAAATATGAAGATGGAGAACTGAAATAGTTACTGAACAGCGATTTTATTGTCTTGAGGTTGTTCAAGAAAGTCAAAATATTCACAATAATGTATGTATTGTATTCAATGTTTTTTTGAAGCATTTTTATTTGTATCTATACCTAAATATCTATTCTTATTAGTTTGAATAGTATGAAATACATTGGGTGTGTTCCGAAATATAACCCAACATACTGGCCAGTGCTGACGACGTCATAAATCGACGCCATATTGTACTGGTGTGCCACCATATTGTACTGGTGAGACAAATGCGATGTAGTAGTATATCAAACGGGCGTGCGTGCATCAGACTTTGAGGAACTTTTTCTTGCAAGAAACTTAAATACGTTTTGGAGCAAAATTGTTGTAAACGAGCACAAACACTATTATCAATATGTCGTCAATTTGACGTCAACGCACTGGCCAGTATATTTCGGAACGAATCAACAGTATGGCGTCGATTCATTACGTCATCAGCACTGGTCAGTATGCTGGGTTATATTTCGGAACACACCCTTAATTAAACAATACACAGATAAAAGGAACCGATTTTTTTAAGTTTCGTAGTAATTACATAATTGCATTTACTGCATTAAATATGGTGTTACAGACGAATGATGAAGAAACAAAGAGGTATTAAAAGGAATATCAGAATAGAGGACTCTATGGAAGTCGATAAGAAATAGGGGACATAGGTTGAGAGGACACCTTCTCAGGCGTGAAGGTCTAGTCAGAGACATATTAAAGGCAGAAACTGGAGTTAAGATGAGTAGAGGTAGACCTAGATTAGATTATTATTCGCAAATAGTTAAGTATGTGTGTTGTTCTAGTTTTGAGGAAATGCGAAGATTACCTCAGGATAGGAAAGAGTGTAGGTGCGTGTCCAGTCAGTCTTCGGACTGACAACCTTATGATGATGATGATGATGATGAGACAACGCGAAATATGATCTGAATGTAAGTATCCTTATCAATTGTATATTGCGCACGTCTGGCGTTGAAAACAAATTCTGTTTACAAGGTTTATCTTTCAGTCGTGACGTCTAACTCACATATTTTTTTAGTTTATTTTCTATTACAGTCTACCCATTCGATTACTTACAACTATTAAATAAAAGTAAATAATCACTACTTATGTGCGCATTAAATCTAATGAAATCAGCATGAAATCTAATGAATTCAATGGGAAAAATCTAATGAAATCCAAGCGAAATGCAATGAAATTCACGTAAAATCCGGTGAAGTCGAATTTATCCCCGCCTCGTTTATAACCACCATGTATGTACTACGGAGTTTCGTATTAAAACTGAAACATAGAATTTTGGGTCTGCATATCTATCAGATCTATATTTTTTGTCAAGGTTTCAGTCAAACAGGACATCTTCATGCCTTTTCCGATCATAACCGATAGTCTGATACATAAGAACTGATGACGACTTACAGCGAATATTGAGTGGGTCCATTCGCCATAAGTCGAGAATTAGAAGAACCGGTAAAATATTTCGTGCGATCATTTTTGATTGATAGGTGGTCATACTTCAGAGGTGATCCCGTATAAATTTTATTGAGTTTTTTTGAAAAAAATCAACAAAAACAAAAAATATATACACACTAAAAATTTTAGTTATCAAAAATATTACATGTCTTTCACTTCCTTTTATTACATTGTCTTACTTACCAAGAAATTGTTTCCTATGTGGCCGCTTTAAACGACAAAGAGCAGTCGTGACGGAATCTTGATCTCTGCATGATGAACTGAGCCTGAGAATTCACGTGACCGTCTCGTTACCTGCAACAAATAATATCTGTATTGCTCGCTGCAAAATTATGACCTCGTCCGATTCGGTCAGCTTGCAATAAAAAAAAAAAGAAAATCAGTATAGTCGTGGTTTGCGGTCAATATATTTTCTTCGATGAACCGTATATAGACGCTAATATTTACATCTTACTTTAACATCGGTCGTTTCCACTAAAAACATTGTATATAATGTCAAATGTACTGTTTTACATATCTTGCCAATCAAAATTCGTTCCAATTTTAAGAAAATGAGATATTTCGCAATTAATTTTAGTTTTAGAGAAAATAGATTATGTGTATGCCTCGATCGAACAAGAACCATTTAGAATTCAGTTCATGGTCAACCCATTTTAACGGTCAACGTTGCCAAATTGTTTAGTTCGTCTATAGTGCATTCATGAAATAACAGACAGCAATAAATAAATAAATAGTACCAAACTATTATCACTACTAAGCGTCCGAGTCATACTATGTATATGTATTCGTATGCAGGTACTGATGCCGCTTTATACTGACAACAGTTTGTAGTAAATATAGAGTTGTAAATGAATCTGAACGGCATAACGTTATCAGATTGGTTTGGTATTTGCAAGGTAATATTATTCGGAAATGACCATGAAATGACAATACAAACGAAACTATTCGTATAAATCTTCGTTAAAAGTTGACAACAGAGCTTGCTACACAACTTATAGTTTTATTCCCAAGCTGTAAATTACTATTTGCTAAATCTTCAAAGGTCAACGTATTATACGTATACTGAACTAAACACAATAGTATCTTTAGCAAATGTTATAGTATTTTTTGTAATTATTTTAATACGTCATTGATGTAGATTAAGAATAAAAGAGGGTCCAAGACTGTACCCTGGGGTACACCACATTTTATTATCAACAGATTACTTTTACTAGAACCATATTTAACTAATTGCTTTCTATCGAAAAGATAACTCTTTAATAATTGGAGTGCTGGGCATCTAATTCCAATCATTTCTAATTTAACTAAAAGCATGTTATGTTCCACAGTATCGAATACCTTCACAATATCAAGAAACGTGGTTACAATAGGTTTATTTTTGTCTAATTTTTCAAAAATCAAAGCTGTAATGTGTGTGAGAGGGCATCATTAGTACTATGGTTAGACCTGAAACCGTATTGCACTAATGTCATCCTTATCAAGGAAGTGCCAGATTTTAGCTATTATTTTTTCAATATTTTTCACAATATTTGAAAGCTGGAACCACTTCAGCTATTTTGAGTGTATCAGGTCATATTGATTTGGTAATACACAGATAAATAAGTTTGCTAGTGGTTTCGAAGTAAATTTACTAATTCTTTTTAGGATTTTTGTATTGCAATAGCTTATTCTTTGTGGGAGGAGTGAAAATCGAGTTTTAATTTACCCGTAGTTTATACATTTATAAAAATAAAAAAATTGTTCTTAACAATAACAACGGTCCTATCCCTGGATCTCCGCTATTTAGTCTAGTTTAATTACGTTTATGATGTTGATGTATGACATCCTGTAAAATTTATTTAAAATTAATGTATTTTTATGTGGGAAGAGTGGAGGTCGTGAATTTTGCGTTATGTAATTGATAGACACAAAAACTAACTAAACATGAATAAATGTTTCGAGTTAACTCTGCTGAAGTGAGGGATGCAAGATCTTGTGTCTTCGATAGGACCACTATCCGACTTTATTAAATTGTTTTTATTTTTGTAGTCAAAGATTATCCACACTTCTAATTCTTAAAAATTTGGAGCTACTCTAGATTAAGCCTAAATATGGTCTAAATATTACTAACACGTTAATTACTCTGACTTTGGCTTTGAAATTTTGTCATTTTTAACGCTATCTAAACGAAATTGCAAACTCTTTGAGCTGTTTTTAGACCAAACTATCAATCAATCAATTACAGTGGACAAACCGAGGGCGAATTTAGGGTTAAAATGGTTTTTATGGTATTTCTCTGTCAGCTGAGTAATAACAGTGAAAATAAAGATAGTCATTTAATTTTTATTCACTACTAATTACCTCAAACTGATAAGGAAAAATTGTTACTACTGTCACGTCCTCGCCGGGAATCGAGAATTAGAAATCTAAACGACTGGGATAGGATTCTTTACTGTTCTCCTTCAAAAACGCGCCACTTTGGTTTATATAGGGACGCTTGAAACTACGTCACAAGTACCGTTAGAGTACCTGCAAGGGTAGTTGTGTTACACGATTTCTCTTTTTTATTGCACCAAAAGCTAAAAGTTTGTACGTTCTTTCTTAGCCCTTGGGCGATGAGTCAAGTAAAAATACATACAAATAAGAATTCTACGAAATGAACTTATACTTAAATAAACTAAAACATTGGATTACAACAACAGTTTGCGCTCTTCCCACTACATCACACTTCCAACCCTAATTTTTTCCAGCCCCTCCGAAGTGCAGTGGTGTGTATAAAAATTCAAATCCTGGAAGCAAAGGCACGATTCCGATATTCCACCTACCCAAGCAAGGAAGAGGGAATCAGATCGTGCCAACAAACCTTACTATCCCAGTAGTAAGTCCTGTGTCACTGTAAATGTGTTTTCCATTTGCCGCCTAACACCGTAAGCCTCACCTATTGTTTAATTTAGTGCATATTTGGACACTTTTTTTACCTTAGTTATAGGAATGTACATGTATATTTTAAACTGTCACCCTAAACGGGCATATATCTATTGTATTTTTCCCTACGTTCACATTGGTTTTTTTGTAAATAATTGTTTCGCGTTTACAGGCATTTTATGTATTCTTTATTCTTGTTTTTTAATGTATAAATGTATGTATATGTAGATATGTAATTTTGTCTTTTGTAAGTAGTTTTTTCTATTATGGGGGTTAGACGGGGTTGGGGATAGGGGGGGATTAAAAGAGGGTGTTCACCTGAGTAAAACCACATAAAAAATTTGCGGCGGTCTCACCCCCCATAAAAAGTTATGGGGNGAGTAATAACAGTGAAAATAAAGATAGTCATTTAATTTTTATTCACTACTAATTACCTCAAACTGATAAGGAAAAATTGTTACTACTGTCACGTCCTCGCCGGGAATCGAACCCGGCACCTTTGGCTTTGACTAGTAAGCATAATTGATTTTTCACATTAATATTAAATATTACCCACAATTAAAAGTTTGTTAAAGTATTTCAAGTAGAATAATTCTAATAAATACAATTTAAATCTATTGAGGGATGGTACGCTTTGATTAATATGTTTTTAATGTTCGCTTAGTTTAGAATAGTTGCTACGGAAGTAGATATTTTCAAATAGACATGGTTTAAAAAGATATATTTCACACGTTACCCAAAAGAAACGTGTAACTTTTATATTCGGCAGACATTCTCCCTTACCTATATGGGCATAACAGTATTATCAATTTTCAACTTTTATTACCTCCAAACTTGGCGGGTCACTGCGAAAATATATTTCATCTGTGACATAAAAATCGATTTATTTCGGAGACGTGAAGGCTGGAGAAGTAGTCCAACAAATTTCTATTCCGTAGATACTCAAGCGCCAGAAAAAGGCCCCATTTGGTCTAGACAGAGAAATCGATACGAAATGCTCGGACGAACTGTTCGCAAAAAAATAAACTTGCAATGCCGTTTCAAAAAGAAACCTCAACTTTGTTGAAGCTTTCAAATTAAACCTTTGAGCAAATAATTTGTTGAGAAATAAATTACCGACGGGAACGGTCGCTAGCAACAGCGATCTCTACTTTACGATTAAAAAGGGAACAAGTCCGAGAGAGACTTGACGTTAAAACTACATTAATTGTTCTCCGAAGCTTTAATCTACTCAATTAAGTAAACTTAAAGCAGTTGTAGATATATACGAGTAGAACTGAATACATATATTTCGAATAATTTGAAAGGAAAATTTCAAATTATAGGGTTGTTCGGAAAGTCATTTCGTTTTTATTTTTGTGGAAACGAAAGGCAGTTTTCGTATAATAAACAAATACTTTATTAAATTATATATTGACCGTTCTGGTCCAACACCTTTTGCCATCTTTCTGGTAGTAGCATAATTCCACGCTCATAAAATTTTTGGTCTTTACTGATCGAGGAGGTTTTTGACCTCCACATTTGAGGTGAAGGTTTTACCGTCTAAAAAATTTTGGAGTGACCTGAACAAATAGTAATCCGATGGTGCCCGGTCTGGAGAATATGGTGGGTGTAGCATTGTATCCCATTCAAGCTGTAAAAGCTTTTGGCGAGTGACCAAA